TTCACATCAATGTCCGGAAAAGGGGAGTGGGTTTATTTTGATGTGAACTATTCCCAGAGCAAGTTTGAGTGCAAGCAAACACAAGTTGTGATAATTTCAGCTAGTAAGTATTACCAGTGCTGTATTTGTAGATACACATCCTCCCATCCATCATGTCTCATGTAGTTCAGAATTTTGCCTTATTGACATGTGTATGTAGCACATGTTGGCTGTGCAATTTGTGTGGAAGTGGTATTCTTCCATTTAAGAAATTTGACACATGTTGATAAGATCTCAGGTTGCTCCGAGGGGAATGCCCATCCCAAAACAGAGAAATGAAACCTGCAAAGAAAAGTGGAACTGCCCAAGGCAGGCCCATCTATCTGTGTTTTTATCCTCTTCCAAGCAGCAAGCCAACTGGAAAAATTGACCCTGAACAGCTTAAGCTTTCATGGTGAATTTAGGGCCCATTCTTCCCCCCAGCCAATCCTCAACATCACCTCATCATAATCCAAGATCACTGTATACAGATAGACAATCCCAGGGATCAATGACTAGTAGTTTTATTTTATCTAGGATTTTTTAAGCAGTTAATGCAACATAAGATTCAAAAAGCATCCTGTGATATACTATAAATTAGTGCAGTGAAAATATAGCCATTAACATATGCAATTTGTATGATATTATTAATTACCTTTTTGGGGCTTTTATGTTCTGTTGCACGACCTCAGACTACTAGCAAATAGCAAGATGCTGCAGAATGGATGTTGCCCCCAGACGCGCATGTGACATGGATTATAAAGTGTGCACTGACTTAGGCTCCCATTCTGCAAACGTTTATGCAGGTGCTTACCTTTATGCATGGGAGTAGTACAACTGATTTGTGTAAATCTTTGTAGGACCAGGGCCTTTAACTCTTTATACGTAGTGTTAGATCTCTATGCATCTTAGACACTGAAAATACAGAATACTAGGCAGAATGAACACCCCATAACTCATTTATGGGAAGTGCAGATTTAGGATCAAAAGATCAGAATAAGGTCCTTTGTTGCTAAACTGGTACGTTACATGCCTTATTTTAATTAGGCTGAGTATAAGAGTCAACCCAAGAAGTCCTTAATTGTCCTAGGCCAGGTCTACACTACCGCGGTAGTTCGACGACTGGCAATCGAACTTCCGGGTTCGATTTATCGCGTCTGGTCTGGACGCGATAAATCGATCCCGGAAGTGCTCGCCGTCGACTGCGGTACTCCACCTCAGCGAGAGGAGTACCGCGGAGTCGACGGGGGAGCCTGCCTGCCGCGTGTGGACCGCGTCTGAACCGGAGTAAGTTCGAACTAAGGTATGTCGACTTCAGCTACGTTATTCACGTAGCTGAAGTTGCATACCTTAGATCGAATTGGGGTGTTAGTGTAGACCAGGCCCTACAGTATTTAATTATTCTCATCCTGTCCCTCTGCAGATTTTCCCACTTTAAAGGGTGTTCTTAGCTACAATCCTTTCCTCTTCTTCCTCCTGCCTTCTCCAGCCAAAAAAACAAAAACAACTTTGTTGGACAAAATACTGGTACTCCACACAAACTTCAGAAAATGCAACTTGATGGTGCATCCTTTCAAAAAAGCAATCCTAAATGGTCAATACATATGTACTAACAGGTGCATAAAATACGTTTCCAAGTCTAATTGCCCTTATTGATGAAACAAATAGAGTAGCAGTATAAGATTAGCAGCCCGACAGTGGTTTTAACTGCTAAGAGATGTAAACATTTGAAAGTTCTAGAAAAGGGAATCAATATTCAGACTTTAAATAACAGTTCCTTCAGAAAGAGCTTTGTGCTGCATATTTGGATACTCATCATGGTAGCTTTCTACTGACATGAGAATCCAGAAATTGTATCTGCAAGCATTCTTTTAATATTGTAGACTTGCAGTTGATTCTTCAAAGGGTTAATTGGAATGGGCACACTTGACTGCTGAGAGGACTGATCTAATCACTGCCATATCCAAGTGCATCTGTTCACCATGAGGTCATTCTTGTGCATGCTAATGATTTGGAAAATAAAGCATAATGCTTGACATTATCAGAAAGCATATCAATAGTGTAAATCTTTACTTTTTAGTGGCCGCTGGCTCTTGCAGAATGAAAAGAAAGACAAATGAATCTCAGATTGCACTTTTTTTTTAGGCAGTCTTTATTTATTGTCACTGGACTAACAGGAAAACTATATAGGAAAA